ATTGCCAAATACCTTACCTAACTCTAATATAGGATGCCCCTAACCCTAAAGTTAATCGAAAAAATTATTAAACATGAAATGCCTCCGCTTTAGACGTCCCCCATATCTGGGACGTTCACCCCTGTTCCAATCATATGGATGTCTTCCTATGAGGTCCAATCACTATTTTAAAGAGAGATACTGGGACAACTAAGATTGATTAAAGATATTTTTTGTTTGATGGCAAATGAATCTATTTATTACTAAATATTTGCTTGTACAAGGTCGCAAGACTGCTTCTTTGCGGAGTTCTTTATGTTTTTATTCATCTATGGTATGAGAAGAAATAAAGTATCGTGATGAATCATTCTACCAGTACTGATCACCGAAATCAAAAACCTCGATCAGTTAAATTTTTACCTGTCGTCCCAATATTTATGAGAACAGCTTTACGAATTCAATTCTACATAACAAATAAGTTGTATATTCTATTTTTCTAAACTTTACAATGTATGTGCAGTAGTAATGACGGTATTAATTTCATATCAACGCCAATCACTAAAATACCTTAACTATATTCTGGGCCGCGATTTTTACTTTTATTTAAAATGCCTCAAGTTCATCTTTATTGATACTGCAAATAAATAAATGCTACTGCAATTTGCTAATTAATAGATTTGTTTTAATACTAATACAAAGTTCTCAAAAGCCATTTTCCCGAAAGAAATAATTAGTAAATTTAAATACGCTTACAAAGAAAAAAAGAAAAAAAAATTAATACTATTTTATTGTTTTCGGATTTTCGTATAGCAAATATGATTTAATGTAGGTATGTTTATTTCAATTAAAATTTTACACGATACTGTAAATTTTTACAATATTCGATAAAATTGGCGAAAATTCATTTAATCGTTCCACAAAATTATTTACTCTTAAAAAGCAAAATGTTAGTATTAAATAGCGATGTGTGATTTATAAAAAAAAAAAAAATTTAATCAATTGCGAAAAAATGAGTGATGTTTGAAAATGATTTTTGTATTCGTCCAATGGGAAGTGAGGGAAGTTAGTAAACCCACAAAAACGATAAAACTATCCTTTAATGTTAACGAAACTTAAATTTGTGTAACTAAATTTTGTGTAGCGGGAACCTTTGTACTCAATTCAAGTGACCTAAAAGCGGTTCGGACCTAAATAAGCCTTTGTTCCGCTCATTATATAAACCTTGTCTTTGAATATACATACGGAGCTCGCATTTTCGTATGCACTCTCGTCTGCTTATAGAAAATAACGAATTTTAAAATAGTTACGAACCAAAGAAATAAACGGTTCCCTTAAATTTATATAATGGAACAAAATAATAATAGAAAAGGTAATGTATTTAAGGACAATAAAGTTATAACGCTGCAAAATTCGGGGCAACATAAAAGAATCTGCTTTGAACAGTACTCATTAGTTATTAATACAAACTTTAAATTTATTTTTATAAAGGTCAAAGAAACGACAAACCGGAGAACGAGAACGGTGAGAATTTGCAATTTTCAGGAGAAGCTCTCGACATAGCAACAAAATTCCAAAGATTACAAAATTCAGTCGTTTTATACAAAAAGAAAAATGAAGCTCTCGAGAAAGAAAAAGGCGAATTAATAAATAAGCTTCATGAACTAAGCATAAAAAATGATCAATTACAAACATCTTGTAATGAATTAACCTCACGTTACGATTCCGAAAAAAGAAGATGGCAACAAAGGGCTAATGATTCAGATCTTGAAATTCAGGCGTTAAAAAAACAACTTATTGAATTGAAAGATGAAGCGTCTAGATATCAATCTGCACTAGGTGAAGCAACAAATGTTCGATTTGGTGATGATGATAGTAATAATCAAGTGCAACTTTCAAAAGCGATTATTGAAATGCAAAATTTATTAATGGATTTCACTACCGTTAAAGGAAAAGATATTATTATTAATGAAAAAGCTGCTTCCGAACTATTGAATATGTATAAATGTAAAACAAGGGGAAAACCGGTTATAAGTGCTATTTTGCAACGAAATACTTTTGAATTATTGGTTCATTATACAAATAAATATCTTACACGACCACATAGACCAAAAACTATGCAACCACAACCAACATATCCACAACCAAATCAAAAACAATATCAACAACAATATCAACAAGCTCAGCAAGCTCAACAAGTTCAATATAATCCAAGAAGTTCAATGAATCAACCTCCTATTGATGACGCCTATCTTGAATCTGAAATAACTACTCATATGATAACATTATGTAATTTAATTAATCGACTTGCTGAAACTAGAAATGGAACTGATGAAATCACTCGTGTGGCTCCTGTAAAAGTCCGTCAACAAGTTTATACCGTATTAGGTTCACGAGGATTTTGTAAAGATAATCATCCAATCATTGAAAAATTAGCAGATTATATTTTAGATAGTACTGGAAAATGTAGGAAAATTAGTGATGAAAAACAATCAGAATTTCAAAATAAAGCTTTAGAAGTTGTTAAAAAATTTGTACATTTGTATTTTAGGTTGCATGCTCAAGAACCTATTCCGAATTATTCGTATTATTTTGAAGCTGGTACTCCTTTAGCAAATAATGTCATGGATGGATCGTGGGATGATGATAACATGGATAATTTAGAAGTTGAGATCTGTTCGTTTCCTTTAATTTATATTAAGGGCAAAGATAATAGTAAGAAAATACTTTCCAAAGCAATAGTTCTTCCAAGAGAAAAAGAATAAAGTTAGTCTGGTGTTTTATATATTTCTTATATTTTTTGGTAAATGCTATGTGTTATTATGTAATTTTAAGTTGGTATTGATAATAATAAATAAAATGTATTAATTTTATAATTTATCTTTGATGTATCAGTATCATTTTTCTCGAAATCATAATACTGATCAAAGAAAATATTGTGTTGCATAAAATCTATTCTTGCTATAAGATTTCAGGGATGATCAAAGAAACGATATATATTAAATCTCCAATTTATATTTTTATGATTTCGATAAAAAAAAAAATGTTTACGAAGGTGATTTCAATCCTACTTCAAACATGCCTATTTCACTTAATGACTATCCCCCCAAGTTTAATTAATTCAACGCCTTCACAAACTTATAAAGTTGAAGGAGTTACTGGATTAATATTAATCCATTCTGGTCAATATTTAGCTCGATTTATAAACTTTTGTTTATCTATATTTTATATTTATTTAATGTACCAACAAGAAATCCGTAATTTACCATATTTACAAAATAATGATCATAAATTATCCGAATGGGACTTTGGAGATATAATTACTTTTTTAGCAACGATCTTTGGTACAATTTTAAGACTTTGGTGTTATAAAGTTTTAAATGTGTTTTTCACATTTAATGTTGAAATAAAGAAAAATCATAAATTGATTACAACCGGTCCTTATCGATTCTTGATTCATCCTTCGGTAAAAAAAAATATATATTTTTTTTATTACTATTAAGTATAATGTATAATCGCCTTTACACATAACTTCTAAACCAATTTCCATTATCGTTATATATTATTTTTAAAACAATCTTTATTGTAATTTATCATTAACGTCATTAACAGTTTTTTTTTTCTTTTTTTTTTTTTTAAACAAAAACAGTATACAGGAATTTTATTAACATTACCATCAAAAATACATATGATTAATCAACTTCAACCATACGTTCAATTATATTTTCCATATTTTGTTAGCTTTTGCTTATATAATATATGGATACGTATTAGTATTTATACTTTTACTTTTTTGTTATTATGGAATAGAGTTAGAACTGAAGAACGATTATTAAGAAATTATTTTAAAAAAGAGTGGGATGATTACGTTGTTAAAAGAAAAAGATTCATTCCATGGTTTTTTTAAAAAATAGATATATACTATATATGTATGCGTATTGTATATATTGTTTGAATATTATGATTGAAAGTGAATAAAAAATACGTTTGACTTATTTTTATTAAGTGTAAACATCTCTATTTTTGTTTACGCGATTATCTCACACTCCAAAATTACGCGTCACTATTCGAATATTATTGAATTTTTTACTTAAAAAAAGCAACGATCTTTATAATATATTCTTGTGACTACGTCGTAAAAAAAAGAATAATACTTCAAAACTTTTACAACAAAAAGAATTCATTAAATCTTTTTTTAGCCATCAGAAAGACGTCCAGACGTGTAAATAATAAATGAATTTATATTATTTTTTACTTTTACTTAAAATTACGCGTTTCATAAACCTCAATAAGACTACATATTATTATGTTCAAAAGAAAAATTATGTTACTAAATGACCTCTATTTTTAAACCTTATTATCCTCTTTTTTCGTCCCATCATTACCATCCTTCTTTCTCCAATTCCTACTACTTAAAACTTTTTTAAAGCTTTCATTAAATTTAGTTGCACTTCTATCTGCAAAACTTGATGGAGTCGTTAATGGTACATTATTAAGTAATATTGGAAATGATGTTGGTGTCATGAACTGTGATAATGGTGCCGATGTAATTGATGTTATTGATGACGTAAGTGATGACATGATGTTCGAGCTTACTGGTAATTCCGGATGTTCAAGTATTTTTTGTTGAAATATTTCCGTTAATTGTTGTTGTTCATTTTTCTTTAAACCCTGCATATTATTTATGTTACAAATTACGATGGTGTAATAAAAATCAACCATTCATGAAAAAATAAAATTACCTTGATATCCAATATTTTTTGAAAGTTACTTATATTTTTATCTGCTATCAATAAAATATAATTTTCAACTAATCCTTCAGGTGGGTCATGCGGTGTAAGAACCGTCTTCAAAATTGTTTCCACCTTACTAATTCCTTTATTCACTATTTTGATAAACCTATCATAAATAACAAAATAATTAGCTTTCTGGTCTATATACTAATGCTATTACAAATAAGACATCAATAATCTTACGTCGGTGGCGGTGGTGCTGGATTTTCCATGCCCATTGTTGGCATTTCTAATAACGATGTTTTCAATGCATGAACATCGAGTAGCATCTGTAATATAATACCGACAATGTTAATCTTATGTATGAATATTTGGGCATTTTCAATAATTTCAAAATCATTAATGTACCTGTTCTGCTCCCACTTCTGATATTGGTTTGCATTTTGTTAAAGCATTCATAAACTTAATAACAAAAGACCTATAAACGAATATACAAATTAATTATAAAATTATCAAGTTATCAAATTACCTAAATTTCTTAATATTTTTAATCAATGCTTACTCTACAAATTTGTCACAGAATGTTCTAAAATACCGATTATTGGTGATATCTTTATGAACACCAACAACACAGCTTAATATTGTTCTATTGAATAGGGTGACGTATTCGGATTGATCTCCAACCGAATCTAGGTTGCTCCATGGTAATTTGGTCATAGCTACAAGTGCAGGATCATAAGACGACTCTATCCCGCGAATTAACGCTCTAATAGATGTAGCTACAACACTACAATCAGAACCATCATATTAATTTTGCGTTTATTAAAATACAAGCGCAAAACAAAACGACTCTTACTTTAGGAAATGATTACGCTCTTCATCAAAATTTATTTTTTCTTTATATTCTTCGTCAATCGTGTCTTTTAATTTATCTTCAAGCTATACTCATGTCAAAAATGAAATAAAATCAAAAAACGATATTATATAATCATACACTAAATATATTTATACCTGTGAAGTTGTAACATAACAATAATCTGCCGTATTAATTATAAAGCATATCAATTTTAATTCATCGCGGGTTATAGGTCGGCGTTCTTCCCTATGAATAATAAAGTTAGATGTTAAACATGAAAGTGAATAACGTAAAAAAGAATTATATTCAATAGTATCACTTATGACATTAGTGCTTCACGTACTTTGGAAGCCTTCCTATCAAAACTTCACTCGCATAAACGCGAAGCCATTTGGCAAACATATTGCATAAATCATAAAAAGGCTGCCGCGTTGATAATTTTGCGCAATTAGCAAGTGTTTCACGATAAAAGTAGAATAAATCTATGCTCGATTGTAACACTGAAGATGAAGCGTCTTCATCCGGAACTGTTTCCGTGTGATAGGAATTAACCATTCCCGATAATGTACTATATTATAAAGGTCATTATAATCGAATTTAATAAAAATAATCATGCCAATAAAAAAAATATAAAAAAAGTGTAAAGCATACCCATCCTCCGCTTCAATATAGAGACCTAAGTAAGGTTCAAATGCTGTAGATATAGTTTTACTAAAGTTATGTGGCGTGTGATCCGTACTGGATGGTCGATTTTTATCCTAAAATTTATTCATCTTATAAGCTACGTTCTCATTTGCAACGATTGTATAATATAAAATATTAATGTATGTACCGTGTTAGAAAAACGTTTTGTCAGTTGATTTTCGAACTCAATGGTCAGTTGTAGATTTTTAAGTAAGGTCTTTACATCCAACCCGTTAGTCTTTACAAGTGTTTTTACTAAATCTTCCCTAATAAAAAAAGGACATTTCAAAATTAAAATAAAAATTTAGAAAAATTAAAACAAATAAATATACGTGTAAATACAAGTATCAATACCTGACGATTTCACAAAATTGAATACTGAGAAATTCACTCAATCGCCAATAAGTAGGAAATATTGCAACATGCTTTTCATCATAATTTTTAAGGACTCTTTTCAACCACGAATATCTTCTAGATGTATTTTCCAAAGATGCAATCTATTACATATAAAATATTCAATTACGAGTTTAAATATTCTAAAAATAGTCTTATGCTATATTTTAAACACCTCTTCATTTCCTCGAAATATTTTCTTGTAATCGTTTAGCTGCTTCTCGCAATACCATTTCATTAATTGCGCTCTAGTGGGTTATAATTACAATAATTAAAAATAATAATTAAACGCTTTGAATAATGATTAGCTTATAATACCGCTAATAATTAATAATTTTCTACCTGACATCTAAACCCATTATGTCAATTACTAGGCAAGCATTAGCCAAAAGTGTCGTCTGACTGATGAAACCTCCATCAGTGGCAAAACTAAATAAAATTTCATGATATTAGAAAAATCAATTATAAAAAAAATTATTTAACAATTACTGTATTTCATTTATCGTACCTAGACTCAAAATCTTCAAAAATTTGCCTCTTTAGATCATTCTGGAACGTATTTACTGAAGATGATAACTCCGCTATTCGTTTAATACTTTTATAAGTTTTAAAATACGAACTAAGTTGTAGAACTGCCTATTAATTGGAGAACATATAATAATTACATTAGCCGATATTATTAACTAACAATCGTTTTTTTTTTAAAAAAAAATTAAAAAATGTATATATATACATTACTTGTAAAAGTTGTGATGTCTCTTTATATTGTTTCATCTGTGCCATGACTTTCAATTGATCTAAAGCAGTGACTTTTAAATAGTCAGAATTAAAATAAGCCTGTTTTCTAAAAAATAATCGCATAGCCAAAGTGAATACATTGTAAAAAAATTTTATTTACCAAGCATTTGCAGTCTTTTCAAAGCAGTAATCGAAATTGTCAAATGCTTCTTAGCATAATCCAGTGATTTGATATCTTTGGTTATTTCTTGCACCATTGTTTCGGATTGTGATGCTTTCTCTTTGATTTGTCTTATTCTATCAAAAAGTTCCTATATAAAAACAACAAAATATTTAAGATTGACATAATTTAACTTGACCT